GAGACTGTATGTACTTATGAATACTGTTAATAAATTAAACCAAATTTTAATCCAATCTATATTTTGAACTTTAAACTGGTCACACAGTACCCGGGAACACAAACTGAAAAATGCCACATTGCTTACTTACTGTATTTATTTACTTGTCACTATCTTAGAAAATGTGTTAAATATCCAGACACAAGCAAGCAGAAGCTAAAAGTTGAGCTGCCATGTAAGTGAAGCTGTTTGGGGACAAAGAACAGGACACTCTTGTCTTGTTTTCAAGGGTTGTGCAGTTTCACCATTTTATTTGTTTTAGCAAACCTATTGGCAAATGGTGCTACAGCTTGGGGGGGTGGTGGTAATATAATCACTGACTCAAAGTCATCTCTTAGTTTAGTCTCTACAAAGTGATCAAAGGAATATTTGGCTCACTAGCAGTTATCTGCTTCACTATTTTAACCATGTAACGTTTCAGCTTGCAAGCTGGAATCAACTGGTGACTCGGCTGTGAGAAGAATTTTGTACTAATTGGTAAAAAGGTTTTACGCAACTCCCTCCAAAATAACTTTAATTACTTTTCCATATTTCACTCTACAGGCCCACAAACAACAAAGTTACCTTTCATGACGACTTCCGGCAGGCCGTAGGGTTCGTATTCTGTGTCGTCAAAGGCAGCTGACAGCTGCGTCCTGTTGCGGCGAATTCTTTCAGCCAAACGTGCCGGGTCAGCCGGGATGGGGAAGGAACCAGAAAACAAGATTTTGTCTCCTGACGCCGCCTCCGCAGATAACCGGACAGGAGACACAGGAGGGGAATCCACTGAACCTTGTTCTTCCTCCTCCTCAGTCTGAGTGTTAACACATACTGTTGAAATGCCACGAGGATTCAAACTCTCCTCTGTCTGACTGCTGACACTTTTCATTTCTGTCTTGACAACTCTGTCTGAGGAATTAGTCGTTGTGTTTAGTTTGGCTTCTGTTTTGGTCGAATCTGGCTCACAGACTTCGCCTGAGTGATGTTGAGCCATTTTCTCCAATGTCATTTGGATGAGTTGACTGTCTCTTTTTACTTTTGGACAATTTTCTGACCATTGTGTGAAGTTAATCTCCTGGTTTTCTTTTTCAGATTCCTGAGTCAAGAGACAAAACAAAGTGACTTAAGAATTAATATTTAATCTAGTAGACAAATAAACGCATATGCCTAGGATAAAACTGAAAACCATTGCATTTTATTCAGTACTGAGGGCAGACAGGTGTTTTAAGTTCAGGTGTAAAAGTACAAATGCTTTATTTTATAGGTAAACAAAACATCTATTTTAAATGTCTCTAACATGATAAGAATTTCTACTTACAACATGAGCAGCTCAGTTCTGGCCCATTTATTATTAAAAATAAATTTCCCCAAATATGCAGGCTTACTTCTCTACAGAAATGCCTTTATGTGGACTGGCTAAAAGACTTCCTAGATTCCACTAGCAATTATCTGGAATTATTTAATTTAAAGGACTCTTTTTTTCATTGTAATTTACACTAAATTACATAATGACAATTAGCCGTCTGGTACATAAGTGAGTGACAATTTATAAAAATCACCTGGTCAGCTGTGGCAGGGTCCTGTCTGTATCCTTGAAAAATTTCAGCAGTTTTAAAGGGATGGAGGCTCTTTGGTTCAACAAGGTTGCTGTTCTGCAGTCTTGTGGTAAAACAAGCAAAAGTTAATTCCAGCTGATACCTGTACACTGTATAAATATACTTAATATATGCGTTTAACACACACAGACACAGAGGTGTGATCAGTTACAAGTTATCTCTGTGATTGCAGAGTGTTGTGTGTTACCTGGAGAACAACATGCGGCCCTGCAGTCTGTTGGAGGAGCAGGACATGAGTAACTCGTCTTCTCTGATGACTGTGATGGTTTCCTGGCTCTTCTGTCTATCCAGTGTGGGTGTCTGAACCGAATCCTGAACAGGTAGAGTTTGAGGTGAGCACTGGGTCATCTCATCTGTTTGCTCCAGGTTTGACTGGGACTGTGTGACAGCAGAGGTCAGTTCATGGGTTTCACATTCCTCAAATGTTGGTGCTGTTTGGGAGGCCAGTCTCCATACAGCAAGCTCCTCTGCCTGCTGCTGGGTCTCCTCAGAGAGAGCTCGTACCCTTGTCTGCAGTGCCTCCACCTGGACAGAAGGAGAATGACAGTAGACTGAATCAATCGGACATAAAACTTAAATATAAAACAAATAAAAGCCACAATATTATTAAAAAAAGTAATTCTATATTCAGCAATACAGATCTTATTGAATATTTTAATGTCATAAATCATTTGATACTCAGTCCTGCGAAAGAGTCGTATTAATTTGTCCTATTACAATTTAAGCCCCTAAAAGTAGGGGAGGGTATCTATAAATATTTGCAATTTCTAAATTATATTTTTGTTTAAGCCCTTGAGTAGAAAGATTCTACTTCAACTGGATTTTAACTGCTTTATATAAAATCTACTCTGGCAGCGTACAGAGCCAAAATGATGAAAATCGTGCCATTACCCAAATATTTCCACTAGTTAAGACTACCATCTAGCATCTCATTCTCCATTAGCCCACTTGTATAATTTTAAGTCCTATACAACTAACCTATTATATTTTTGTCACTTTTCATCTTTTCACATAACTGAAGGAGAAAAAAATCACTGCCATTACCTGTTGTTGTAGTTGAGTTACATGCACCTCAGACATTTCCTCCAGGTCTTCTTCAGCTCTCGTGTTTCTTTGGTCTTCCTTTTTTAAATCTTGTCCTTCATCTTCTTCCTCATTCATACTTGACTCCAGTCCCTCAGTCATGACGTCATTCAGCAGACTCAGTGTCCCGTCTTCTGCCAAGCAGGACAGTGCAGCGTTTGGTGTGTTTTGGCTTTGTGTTGGATCGTCTTGATTTTCAGCGTCAGTCTGTGATGTCGGGTTTTGTGCGTCAGAGATGGTCAGGCCCTCAATTCTTTGTTTCAACAGCTCATTCTCCCGTCTGAGAGTGAGCAGTTCAGTAAGGATATCTGCTTCTTTTCCGCTTTGACCGCACTCAGTCTCTACCATCACACAAGCAGAGTCAGGGTTACTCTGAGTTTTGTTCGAGTCTATAGATTCAGGATGCTGGTCCCCTGTTTTATTAGCTTCTTCACTGCTATCAGGTGTTGCCGTTTGAGTATCACATGTTTCTGGCTGACTTGCATCACACTGTGCGTTCAAGTCACTCTCAGGCAGTGACTCTGCAATTTGACAGGTGACCCTACTCTCCTTTTCCTGTTTTAGTGAGAGCTCTGAATTCTCCACCGGCTTCTCATCTCCCTGTTCTTCACTTTGTATCTGTTCCTCCACCTCTTTGACCATCATCTTCACCTCATCCTTTTTATCATTCTTTAGTTCATCCAGCTCTTGCTTGCTTTGTAGTAGTTCCTGTTTTTGGCTTTGGAGGGCGCTCTCCTTCTCTTGTAGCTCAGTTAGAAGGCCTGCAATGTGCTGACTCTGCTTCTCAAAGGCCATGGTTAGCTGCTGCGTCTGACGTGTCACCTGACAAGAAGAGAAGAAATGATGACTAGAGAAAGTAAAAATACCACTGGGGTCTGCACTTCACTGGTCACAGCTCACAGCACAAAACACATTTTAAAAAAGCAAACCAAAGGCCTTTTTCTTAACCAATCGTACTTCCTTGAGGAAAAATGTGTATAAATGCAGTGAATTTGCTGTTGTAAATTTAAATCATTATGACCACTTGTAAATCAGGGCCACACAGAGATTCAGGTCACCTTACTGGATATGCAGAGTTTACTTTGCTTCTATCAGGACTGATGTTTACCTTCTCAGATTAGCACTGAACTGATACCCAAAGTCTTCTTATCTATCTGCTCGGGTTGCATTTAAACAGTTTGCAACTGTTTTATTGACTCCTATACTTTTCTGTATTTTCTTTGTCTTTTTTACTGCCTGCTTTTTGTTTGCCTTTGACTGGCAAATCTTAATTAACTCTTTCGTAACCTTTAGAGGCCATCTTATTTCTTAAATAACTTACAGAAGGAAGTAACATTTGATTTTTTTTTACTTCAGTGAGATCAGTGATATCTATATAATGATATCCTAATTTTAATATTGTGCTTTACAATAACACGATTCATACACTGCTCAAAAAAATAAAGGAACATTTTATTCTTTCTTTTTTTTTTAGCTTCAATGTGATTAAACTTCAGGACTATTAATTTGGTCGGTTGAGTAGCAGAGAGGGAGACATGCAGTTACGCTAGGAGTGCTGGACAGAGCCATAGAAGGTTGTAACCCATCAGCACGACCAGAATCTGCTCCTCTGTGCAACGAGGAAGAGCATGTGCACTGTTAGAGTGCTACAAAATGACCTACAGTGTGCCAACTGATGTGTTTTCAAAGTGTCCCATAATTTTTTTGAGTAGAGTATGAATTCAAGATTTAGCGATAAACGAAAGTACAGTGATGGCACATGAATTAAGCTGTTCAGAAGTGCAGAACATTCGAGAGTGACTATTTAATATAGAAATACTTAGGTTTGAGAAATTTAGTGCACTAATCTATATATCCAGCATCATTTACCTGGCTCTGCAGGGCCTCCAGTTTAATCTGACACTGATTAGCGCGCTCTGTCTCCTTTGCATTTTCATTCTTCAGTCGCTCCACCTCTTTCACCAAATTAGAGGCTGTAGGCTCAGCCTTCTGGGGGTCTGAGGCTATTCGGCCCATCTGAACATCATCTGACAGAGGAGAGTGCTCGGCATCTATCACATTGCTCTTTTCTTGGATGATGTCTGCTGCTGTCTGAGAAACAAGCATGTTGTGTTGGTTGGTGGACTGGCAGAAAAGGAGGTGCTGCTCTGGTGAAGGCAGGAGTGTGTTGCCACAGCTATTGATGTTGGAGTTGAGCTCGTCATCACGAAGAGTCAAATACGTCAGGGGAGTGTTTGCATCTGTGCGCTTCTCTTCTTGTATGGGTTTTCTTTTTTGCTTCAGTTCTTCCACTTGAGCTTTAAGTTCTGCCACCTTCATGCTCAGCTGTTCCTTTACATTAGTGTCTGTGTTTATTATTTGGCTTCTCTCCTCTTCTTCTCTCTTTTTTTCCTCTCGCTCTAAAGCCAGCTGAGCTTTCACCTCTGCCAGCTGTTTTTTAAGCTGAATATTAAGCTCTACCATTTCACTCTCCCTATCTTGTTGTTCTTTGTTTTTCTCTTCCTCCTGCTCGCTTCCCCTCTCCTTTACACGCTCTATGTCTGCCTCCAAAGCAGTCATCGCCCTCCTCAGCCTCTCTGTTTCAGCTCTTTCAGTCTCCAGTTGTGTCTTCCATTCCTTTTCTTTCTCCTCTTTCTCTGCAGCCTGGCTGGTGTGTTTGCGGCTAAGCTGTTTAAGGCGGGTCCTGGCTTCTGTCTCAGCTCTTCGTTGGGCTTCCAGGTCCTCTAGTCGTTTCTGCAGTTCTTCTCGTACATCTTGAAGCTCTGAATGGAGCATTGCGTTCTCCTTTTTGAGGTCTTCAGAGGGAACGGTCTGCTCAGACTTGAGAGCAGGTGTCTTTTCTGCAGAAAGGGTCATATTTTGTGTCTTAAGTGAGTGCTCAAGACTGATCATTCTATCAAGATCTTTAGCGTTAGAGTTGTTGATGGGCGTATGAGAGACGTCACATTCTATTGCCTCATTTACAACTTTGTTCTCCTCTTCATTAATTTTCCCTTTGTCTCCTGCTCTCTTTAAACACTCTGAGGAGTCTGGGGAGATTAAGGCACTGATGTGTTCCGAGTCAATTCCTTCTCCTGGCTCTCTGTCAGAAGGATAAGACGCTCTGATATCTGTCCTTCTCTCCTGTGCATCCTCTTCTTCCCTCCTCTGCTCAGCTCGGTTTGAAGAAGGCCTCTTGGTTTGGGCTGACGGTCGAGGATGATGAGATGAGGAAGACTGAGATGAAAAACTCTGTCCAACAGGGCAAAACTGCACAGATTGTGGAGGAGGTGCTGACTTTTGCTCTAGAATTAAAAGGAAAAACATTTTTAATATGTACAAACAAAAAAACTTAATAAACATGTGCATTAGTGGAAAAGTTAAGTGTATTTTTAAAAGGATAACATTCATCTATCACTAACCAGCAGGGAGCAGCACTGGGATAAGTCTTATGTGTGAAAGAGTAATTTACATGACATTGAGTATATAACTGTCATGCACAATCTAGGACTCACCCTCTTCAGTAATCAATCTCCCTTTTTTGCTGCACAAAATAATAAATTACTACAGGGCAGCATTATCACAATAAGCCCACTAAAGGACACCAGTACAACAAGCTCATGTTAAGCATGTGGCCATGTGAGACTCCAAAACCCTGACTCTTGTGGAGGGAGGAAAGACAAGCTACTCCAATCTCCCATGACTAATAAAGAGATTTGGCTTCGTCCCCACAGTTTATGCCTCACCCTGTAGTTCTTTCAGGAGACGCAGGGTGTCAGCTCGCTCATCCGCAAGTCTCCTCCCCTCCTCTTCCAGAGCTCGCTCTCGCTTCCTGCTCTGCTCCAGAGTCACAGCCACGCCCTCTGCCTCACGCACAGCTTCCTAATGCAAAGAGCAAAGATAGTCAAATGAGGTGGGATGAATCCAGTCAAATCAAACTTACTGATTTTTAAGTGTTCAGCTTAGCTGGAGGGAATCTTCATGACCAACGATGGACTTTTAAGGCCTCTTTTTCAAATATCTTTCAGAAAATTTGATTGATTTCCAAAATATGTCTGCCATGACATCTTTAATGTCAGTCTATATTTTCGACCTTGTAATATTTGCACTATAAATGTTATCAATTGTGCAAGAAGACTGCCAGATGAGGACATGCTGTGTGTAATATAAATGGATTAAGAGCAACCCAAACACAGTGTCTCAACAGCTAGAAACCTCAAACAAGCTACAGATGAAGGCAGTATTAGTACCAACTATGTTGCAAGCGTATGAACATGTAATAAACTGCTACAAATTCTAAAAATGTGGGCGTTTTACATCTTCTGCACTCTCAGCTTAGCGACAATAACAACAACAAACACAACAATAGCAAATGTCCTTGCGCATCAGAAAGGCTTTACTAAGACTTTTAATCATGTAAAGTTCATTCCAGGGCCCGTTGGCCAAGGTAAGTCAGTAGGCCAGCTGCTACCCCATTTGGTCCAGTAACAATGTTTCCACAAATCACAGCTATAAGTTCATCTGTAAAGAAACACACTGAAGCAGCCCTTCACTAAGAATTTCTTTTCCCTTGCATGCAGCTGTCTTTTTTTCACATTAACCCTTTCACGCATAGTGGGCACTACAACAGACAGCCATTCAAAGGCTGTTTTCTTGTATTTGTGTCAGTGTTGATGTGTGTAGTATTACAAGTATTACAAGACACAACTAAATAACAGTGAGGATAACGCTAATCCGATATCTTTAATAAAACATAATGAGCTGGATCCACACTTATTGACTAACATATGGCACATAAGGATGGTCATTACCCATTGCTCATCTAATGAATAATTAATGCAGGCCCTGACTCCTAACAACGTCTGCATGTATCAGTTGATGATCACTATGTGTTACCGTCAGTTTGGCTTGTGTCTGTGCTTCTTTCTTCTGGCTCTCCTTCAGCTGTCCCTCTGTCCATTTCAGTTTCTCTTTCAGAGTCTCCAACTCTTTCTCCAGCGCCTGCTTCTGTAGAGAAAGCTGACAGAGGGAATAGTGAAATAGTGAGAATGAATCCAAACAACACAACAGAGAAGGTATTTTAAAAAAAAAGAAATGAAAGTAGGGGGAAGAAAAAGCAAAAACAATAGGAGAACTGGAAAAAAAAAAAGGGAATGACTTGTTTGCTTTGTTTCAGGTGCAGGAATCACAGCCAGTGAAGGGAACAGGAAGCAGGACAGATATTGATGTGTCTAACATATCCTCTACCTCTCTCGGGGTTATCAGCAAAGACTCAAGTAGATTAGCTTCCCACCAGTTCTCATCTAAAAATTCTACACATTATAGTCATATAACTGTATATATGTAGCAATATTGTGAAGTACTGAGTAAATTATTTGCTAATTAATTATTTTAAACTTCAGTGTAGCTCTTTAAAGACAAACTTTTTTGTATTGGTCACTAATTAGTCACTTGGTTTTGTTACAATATTGAGTGACCCAGTAATTCTCAGTCAATGAAATGTCACATGTAGTTTAACAACCAATCAAATCTGAAAACATCTGATACTGATTTTATCAGCTCACTTAGTGAATTTCAATAAATGTAAAAA